ACAAAAGTTAACGTTAACAAATAGAGTTATCCCTATTTGTACTGGCTCTCTCCCATCATGTTTTTATCATGTTTTCCATATTTGTTCATAATCATTTCTAATTATAAAAAATCAGTATGTATGTTAGATTGGATGTGTTGTTTGAGTGCATATGGTATAAACTTTATGATTTGTATTGGTTTATATGCTTTATATGAGCCCTTTGAATAGGAATAAAGATATTTGATTTGATTTTAATTAAAGCCTTTGTTCTATATTGAAATTATGTTTAGCACTCTATTAACAAAATTAATGTGTATTGGTACACTGTGTAAAATAAATGGTCCTCATGTCACTTTTCCTTATCCACCCTTTTCAACCACAAATATTCAGTCTTCATATTTATACATTTTAATAGTATTTTTAACAAATAGCCTAATAAATTCAAAATACAGAAGATTCGTAAGAAGAATGCCAAGAATCAAGATGTATACCTTCACTTCGATTTCTGCATATATGATGTAAGCTTTCTCACTGAATAAATATATGGCTGTGTCGATTGCTTATCACAAGTAGCCACCTGTTTGTCCAATAACATGGATGACGTATCTTAAACCCCCGATAACAGGAAAACATGACGTAATGGGTATTGATAGTTACGATTCCCCTTCCGGGGACATGAGTTTAACTCTGTTTTTTTTTAACGTTCGTGATGATCAATTGCCGGTACACAGAAAGAAGAACAGGAAAACCCAAAATCATCAAGGAGTACAACAGACAAAATCAAACCAACACACATTTAAACAAACAATGTCAACAACGAAATACACATGGTCTAGATAATAAAGCACTATCTTTTCCTGTTCTAGGTTATGTCTTATAGTTGTGTATGAAGTGTTTTGTTAACTGTTGTCTTTTCGTAGGTTTCCTTAAGGAAATACACCTATATGGTTTTCTTCGATGGTTTATGTGTACTTCTAAATTTCATCTATAAAAAATATGTGGTATGATTGCCAATGAGACAACTCTCCACTAGAAATTAACAGCAATAGGTAACCGTACGACCTTCAATAATGAGCAAGGCCCATACCGCTTAGTCAGCTATAAAAGGCACTGGAATCACAAATGTAAAACAATTTAAAAGAGAAAAACTAATGGCCTAATTAATGTACAAAAGATGAACGAAAAACAAATATGTAACACAGCAACAGCCGACAACAACTGAATTACAGGCTCCTGACTTGGGACAGGCACATACATACAGAATGTGGCAGGGTTAAACATGTTATAGGATAATTATACGCCTTTCTTGTTTTACTAAGAAAATGTAGGTAAAGGATGAACCTCTGATATTAGTTAAGATAGATGAGTGATTTTTTTTTGATAAATTGACAATGTATGTAGATTGATTAGCCCGATTTTGATTCGATTGATAACTTATTATTTGATCATACCGAATTTCTTGTTTAGATCAACATTAATGACATTTTGCACACACATTTATCAAAAGCACTGTACTAGATTTAGAAAATTGGTTTGGCATTAAAAATTATAAGAATTGATATAATAAAGTTAAAGATACACTCCGTTTTAGTTCTTTAAATCTCTAAAAATAACCTATTAAAAAAATAATTCCATTATCTTAATTGTTTTCATATTGTAGTACGTTTGGCTACATTATTTTGTTGTTTTTTCAAATACAAATATTTGGTGTTAAATTATTCAAATATAATTATCCAATAAAAGCACCATTCAAAAAAAATACAAATGACTGATTTAAATCATATTGAATTATTGATCATAACAACTGACAATGCATTGTCACGTTGTATTCAGTCAATCGATTACCTGGTATTTAACAACGGTTATTTATTACTTAATATAAACAAAACCTTAAGATTACTTGATCATATATTATTATTTAACTGTAATAGTTTGCATACTGTAAATAAGAATGAAACTTACATTTGCTTACATTGCACAATTTAAAGATATATGCCGAGATTATATTTTGAAATGATTATATCTCTAAGAGTACATAAATGACCGTTAAATTAACCAGCTGAGTAGTCAGTGAATTTTTGCAGCGTAGTATATTTAAAACCTTGTTCTATTATCCATTGATAGAAGTTGAAATTATTTAGAAACTGAAAATCTCTTGCTAAGTTGGTCGTATGCGGTTTTAGATTCTCTTTTTATGTCTCTTTCGGTTAAATAGCTTCTCACGTGTTTGTACATTAAAACATGTCAGAGTTAATAACAAGTTGTTGTCATTTTATCGAACTTGAACGGAATATAATAATGGCTTTTCCTCTTAATCTGTAATATAAATGCTATTTGTGTAAGAGTGTTATATTATTGAAATATCATTGCGATGCTTAGATTCGGTCATGCATTTAGTTCTCAATTTGCTAGCCCTAATACTTTACTTAAGTGTAAATGCACGCAACTTAAGCTGCTACAGTTGACATAAAGATACTGGGAAATGGTTAACAGACCTACCAATCATCGATTACTGTACATATTAGCATACACAGAGGCGTTGAACTACATTTATGGGAAATACTGTTTCTTCTCTTGAAATTTGAAATAATATTAAACGGTTTTAAACAAAAGAAAACAAAAAATCATCTTTATGCACAGTTTTGATCCCTTGTCTAGTTGTGCCTATACTCTAAGTTTTACTAATGTGCTTTGTCTATATGCCTTTTTGATTTTCTTTGTTGACATATTTGTTTGTATTTATAGTGATTAAGTTTGTAACACAATGTTGACTGCTGTACCCCTATTTCTGACATTTTTACCTATTATGTCTGTTTGTTTTGTTCGCATATCGTTGTCAATAAAATGGAATTGTATGCGACTGTCATACAATTGAGAGGTTTAGCTAGCTATAAAAGCAGGTTTAATCCACTATTTTCTACATGAGAATGCCTTACCAAGTCAGGCATATGACAATTTTTATCCATTCGTTTGATGTGTTTGAGCTTTTGATTTTGCCATTTGATTAGGGACTTTCCGTTTTCCTCGGCGTTCGGTATTTTTGTTATTTCACTTTTTAAATTAAATATGTATCTTTTTTATCAGGTTGATGTTAATCATATATATTTCTATTCAAACAAAAATGTTTGGAACACAGTTCTTTTCCTTTTCTATTTCATTTAGCTCATATAATTTAGTAAGTTACTTTTTGGACTTTTTTGTCATTTAACATAGTGAATATATTCATAGATGTTACCGAAGGAGAAATCTCATCCTAATAAACCAACATTTTGAATTTTCCTTATATAATATCAACAGTGTTTAACATGCTTAAAGAACCATTTGAAGTTGGAAAATCCAATAAAGAACAATTTCAATTATCATGTTAAGTCAAAGCTGAAGAAAACATTTAACAAGAATTAGAAGAGTTCGAAATTTGTATATACTTCATATGTATTTTGTCACTTTTGCTCGTAGTAGCTTCAAATGCATTTCCGTGTTATGAGAAAAATCATTACATATTAAACAGTGTTGTTAAAAAAAGCCTCGGCCTTATTACTGAACAATGAATTATAATAAGTTCCCAATAAAACAAATCAATCATTTACACAAATTTAAACAATACACATTAATTCAAAATTAGAATTAAGGTACAGGATGTATCACTGACATCTATTTTTAGCTAGTCCGATAACTAGACTGGCCGCTGGTTTAGTCACCATAAGTATAATCGATAAATACAGCTTTACTCTTATATAAAGTGTTGATTTCGTGAAAAGTAACGGGAATTGTTGACGGAGTAAAAGGTAGCGATGTATAATCACTTCGGTTGGTTTGGTTAGACACTTTAAGTTCAAAATTATGGTTTGCAATTAATGTAAAATCTTACATTAATATAATTCAGGAGGTAAACCAGAAGTTCATGTTGAAAAACTCTATGGTTATGAACCATTTGAAACTGGCTTTTACGGTTCTATGGTTCATTATATCTTCATATGTAGTAATTCCAGCAAAATAAGTGCCAACATACATATCGTGTATTAGCTGTGTGAAAATACACATTGATGAGACTACAAATAGAGGTAAGGCCATTTGATCCCATATAGCTCAAAATCCGTGAAAACTAAATTCATTATCACGTCATTATACATTTAATCAAACGTTTTAAAGCAAAGGTATGAGGGATTGGGAAATTTAAAAAAAAAAATTTTTTTTTTGTATGCACTTTTTATTTCTGGTCCATTGTCGTGTAATTAATAGAAAACCTATAAGCTACTATAAATCTGATTGAAAATTGCATCTCAGATTTCTATGAACCATAATGTGCGTTAAAACATTATTCTACGAGAGGGATATAGATATTCTAAATTTGTCAAACAGTTTACCAGATTTTATCACAACCGATTTGATGTGAAAGTATGATTCCTCTGTTTGGGAAATAACTGAAAGGTGACTTTTGTATGAAGCATTTGTCATTATCATGATATTGATAAAAAACTTTAAAACACACTGTTGAACTTTTATATGCTGACTCCTTTTGGTTAATTTAGTAGAGTTTTTTTTTTTTTTTTTTTTGGGGGGGGGGGGGGGGTCTATTTTATTGACTTACAACAAAGACTTTTATCTAAATCACATAATGTATAAGCATGCATTTTACTATATTTACTGTACAAATCTTACTGCACCAATGCTGGCTAGAAAAGTATCACCAGTGGTGTTCGATACTAGAATATCTTACAAATCCCAAACGTAATACTTAGAACTAATAAAAGCGAAAAGGGCAAAAACTTTATACCAACTCGGACAATGAACTACATCCAATACATGATAAAGATAATTTCGTAATTAAAAAAAAAGTGCAAACAACCCAAACATTCATACAAGATTCTAATCATGTTATAAATCGACGTGCACCTTAATATGACTTACCTTTTATTAAAGCTTGTGAATATATTACTAACATAATGTGAGTTCAGTCAGTCATATAACTTTTTTCAATTTTTCGATAAAGGTCTATGACGTAATCATGTCTTTCATTTGTTTATTATTGTTACGGTTACAATAATCAGCTACCAATAGCGAACACAGGACAAAATATTATTGAGGCGATTGGTATGTTTAATTTTTTTTTACATTTTTTGTAATTTGCGTATAGGTTGCAATTCTGTAAAAAAAGACAATAAAATTTCCAGTAGGAATTCCTTTTACGGCTAAAACTGTACCATTTTTACATGAAGTTTCGTAACAAATCATATCATTGAAAGTTCATTTGCACTACTATTAATTTGCAAAGGTCAAAACATTCGACTGTGCGGCATATGTTCAACATGTATATGCCTCGAACTTCTAAAAGTTTAAAACTAAAATTCTGTACCTCCCCTCCCTTCACTTTCGGTTTCCCTCAGAATTCAGTTTAGCCGATATCCATGTGTATTTATACTAGTAACATTTCGAAGTTATGTCTCTACGAGATAAAGTATACAGAATCATATCCGGGAACCAGTACGTAAACAAAACAAAATATCTTCGAGTATTATATATCTCCTCAAAAGAGGTGTGGTTTTTGGAAACAGTGTATTTGAAAAGTGCAACTTATAAATTGTATATTTATTGATTCAAGATGTGTTTAGCTAATCAAAAACGGAAAGTTTCGCTCCAAATATTATTGATTTTTGTCAAAATAACAGATCATATGTCTAATGCATTATTAACCATTTGCACTGAAAACAAGCTTATTATGTTCACATAAGAAAGTGAGACGTTTGTGTACTTATACTTATTAATGTCTTTCTAATTATAAAAACAAAAACTTATTTTCAACTGACGTACAATCTGCTGTTTAGTGTAATCCTTACGAGACCTTTAAATGTACGGGTTTTTGTATTGCACATACCTCTTTATCTACGTATCATCTTCAAATCAATTACGTTCATATTTATTTCCAAACGAAAAATTCCAACATGTGGTATATGATTGGATAAAGCCAGCTATGTTAAAGATAGAACACGGTCGTTTTTCAAAAATTCAGTTTTGGTGTACTAAATTTGTAACATACATTTACGTCTTGCAGGTTCTTAAACGTAATATATTTTTTACTTCAAGTTCAGATAATACAATTACTCATGTTTGCTGTAAGTCATTAACACTTTAAATCTTCCGTCTGAAGGTAAATGAAACTATAAACCTAACCAGTAGAGGACAAAATGAGCATGCACAGATTTTTCCACATTGATACGCATTGTGCTTACCTTTTTTGTTACTCTATATATAAGTCCTTGTTCAAAATTCACGATTAAAAAATAATTTGCTGCTTATTTGGAATGATATAACTGCCTTTCACCCTTACAATAGTTGAGGTTAAGAATGATATTTTAATTTGTTTTATGTAGACCACATTTCTAAAGCGTTACATATAAGGAATATATTGATGATAATATTAGAAATGCTATTTCGATTGTTTTTATTTTCATGTTTCTATACTTATCTGTATGCCTAAACGTATGCTATATTCTGTGTAGATTCGGCTCAACCATTTACAATTTGAAAAACCATTGATACAATCCTGTAGTTCTTATATTTAACAGACCAAATCCTTTTTCCAATAAAGCACGATCCAAGTATTAAATGTGCACGGTGAAAGTATTATACTTGATGTACTCACATTGAGTTATCTAGATGAATGAACATTCAAAGGTAAATGATAAACGCAATATGCACACACATGAAGATGATAAATTAGTCACATAATTAGTTGATAGCGCATGTTTATGTAAATGTATCTTTTGTCGTAAAAAATACCGAACTTCAACGTACTTTCAAAAATAGGAAGTTTATAAAATCAACTGACAAAATAAAGTGCTATCGCATTTTTTTTTTCTTTTTTTCTTTTTATTTTCTATCAGAAACTGAAATATTAAAAATGTAAAAAAAGAAAAGAACAATCATTGCTGCTAATATCAGATGTATTTACAGATAGTTCTCTTTGGTAAATGTGCACAAGATTTTGCGAATTTAAGAAAAAATATTATCACGGTCACTGTTACAAAATCTATCAATTAAATGTTTAACAAACTGGCCATACACTGTGATTCATAACAGTGCAGGAAAAAGTCTGATATTTAAAGGGTGAAATAAAAACAAATAAAAATATTTACAAAACGGAAACGTTCATCGATATTGTCAAGTAGAAAATTTGAAGCCTTAATCATCTTATCAAAGTTCCAGTATATGGACTCATTCTGGATTGTTCTTTTCAATATCAGCACTATCAATGATACTCAGTCTCTATCATGTCTTTCCCTTCTTCGGGCTAGATATATTTTGTTATTCCTTTTGTTTTTTGTTTGTCATTGACCACTCGAAAAACATCCGGATATTTTTGTTATCGCAATCTGTGGGAAATACATGTGTTACATGCTATTATACAAATCATATGCTATATGAATTGACATTCATATGTCACAATTGTTCGTGTAATATAGTTACCAACTCAAACACTTGTTGACATACAATGTTGCCTACCAAGAAGATATTGACAATCTATTTGTTCATTCTCATGATGCTCCGAACATTAAGCAGTTCAATGTCATAACTGGGAAGACAGCAAACTCAACTACCGCATTCTATAGGGGGGATATATTGTAAAACTCACAATTTGTTTCCAACTGCTATATCTGAGTACAAATTTTCTTAATAATATTGATATAAACATTTTAAAAATGATTCTAATCAAACCTAATTTGAAATATATGATTTTTTTTTAAAGCTTGCCATGTCCGTAATGTTATACATATTAATAGTGCTGTTTCACTCTACGTTGCTAGTCAGAGCAAACAATGAAAAAGGTAAATATAGGTAGTGTTGAATATTTTGATCGTTGTGTACCAATGTGTTTTAAGTTTTGCAATGTATCAAAAACAAATTATACTCGATACAAAATGTTTGCATCCCAAATTGCAATAATCACGAGAAATAAAGATTTAAAGTAGGTATTAACTACTTGTTTTATCATAACGTAGTTGATGAAGAATTTTGAAACATCTCAACAACAATTGGGCACTCAAGTGCTTATCATTGTTTTAACAAATGTCAACTATAAATACTAACATTTTTGTGTCATGTTATAGAACACGAAAAATGGAGTTGGTATTCTTTACTCCATCCAAAGAAACAACTGAACCTATACTGCATATTGAAGATTATAAAACAATCAAATTAATAGCTATCCATAAGGCAACTGAAAAAATACATGAATAGGACAAGTACCAATAGTGTGAAACCTTTATCCATTACACCGAAAACCTGAAAAAATACATCAAGTTGTTGTATTTCTGTATTATGTGATTAGAGCACTCACAACTGTTAACGAATTCATTATCAAATGTTGTGACTAGCATATGTTAGCACGTTTTCAATAATTTTTATCACTCTTTTTTTAATAATGGTTACGGAACCTTGATTTTTGATCTTGTGTGTTGGTGTTAATGATTAATTTACACTTCTCCTGAGATACTAGCACCCGATTGTATGAAACAGTTTTACGGCAACTTAAGGTATAAACGTATGTTACATTTTTTAAATGACTACAGCAATAAATTGTTCTTCACAATTATTAGCAAAGAACAAGTCGCGTTATTGTCTGTCACTGTATTTATGAATTGCTTTTGTTTTGATGATAGTTAAAAGATGAAAAAAACACGTAGAAATATATCATGCGTCCGAAGTGCTTTAAAAAGACAAATGCGGACGACAGTTGATAAGAGTTTCCAACACCACCTACAAATTGTTTTACAATTGCGTAAGATAGTACGTGTGCATAATATGTTAAACAAAGAGACGACCTTACTCTTCCAATTCTTCAGCTATCGCAAATTCTCAACCTGTCGCGTGAAAAAAAAAGTCCGGTGAACCATACGTTTTATCATATTTTAGGAAAAGCATGATGTTAGCTACATTTTGACAAATTATTAAAAAAAAGAATTTATGGATTTCAATTTCGGCACCCTTTACCTTAACACAAACCCCATGATATGTCTTATTCTGAAGTCATACTCGAAGACACGAGGACAATATTGTGGTAACTACAATCCGAACATATACGTCGCCATCTGTAAAACTGGTATTCTATAGAACGGTCAACCAAGTCGTGATGGCGTACGTTAAATGAGTGATTTTAATTTCACCACTTGGAACTCTTACTTCACCAGCCTCCTGTAAGCAGCAACCCACTATAGGGGATATTCACGAGACTGTTTTTATATGATGCCTTTTCAAAATCAAATATTGTTCTGTAGTTCTAAAATGATTACCACGGCGTTGTCCTTCGATGTCGATGGTAAATTCAAGAAATTAAAGTCCCGTAAAATTGTAAAAAAGAAAATCAAACGCTAGACTCTATTCACCAACGGTACATATGTAAACCAACTGTCATGGTACAGTTAGTTTTCCGAAAAATATGGTGAGATTGTTTTATAACTAGATAAACCAAAACAAATTTTTTTATGCTAGTTGTATTTGGGGTTTGGCACCAATATATAGACGATTTTCGAATTCGTACAATTTCCCGTATATTTCCTATGTCACAATGCATACGTTATTTCGTCACAGTCAGAACCAATTATTCGATTTAGTCGTCTACGCCGATTGACCCTGGACCAGCCGGTGAAACTCATTCATAAAAATCAACACGAGATTGATGTATTGAGTTTAGCCATGCGCACCTGATTTTACACCTTATAATGTTTGTTAATTAAAACGTTTGATGGATTGGTTTCTTTAAATTTTAAACTAAGAATAAATGAGCATTTCAATAGAGTATTTTACCAATAATTACCTTGTTTAAATCCCTTCAAATGATAGTTTTGCAATACATTTCTTGATCATGTTGATAGGTGTTTTACCATTAAAAATTATAAAATATAAAAAAACATATTGATGAAATATAAAATGTGTATACTACACATGCTTCGTTATACAATGTGCTCAATATACCCATTTTCATAAAACAAAACATGGTGGTGGATTTCGATCGATAGACGCCAATCACTTCTTCCTCCATCAATAGCAAACTAAGTTATTCGTGCTAAGTTACATTTCTGTGATAAGTTGAATTTGTTGACGTCACTATCGGGGACGGGATTTGCATAAGACAAATAGCATATCAATTGTTTCTGTTAAAAGTTACTCTAAATTATATATAAACCGTTTTCAAAAACCAGGAGTCAAATAGCTATCAGTCTGAACTCTTAAAGGCAATATTTCATTTTTTTAAGTTTTCTAAAAATAACACTTGGAATTATCAATTTGTTAAATATTTGGATCATACTTCGAATATAATTTAGTTTTAACTGCAACCAAACAACTCATACTTACAAATTGCTGTCAAGATTTTTCATATTTTATGATAATATATACATATGCAATGCAATGCATTTCTCTAGACTGTTTATAACGTCTTTACGCTTAAAAATCGTTTGATGGGTGCTCAATTGATACATAGATATAAGAAGATGTGGTATGTATGCCAATGAGACAACTCTTCATCCAAGTCACAATTGGTAAAAGAAAAACCATTATAGGTCATAGTACGTTTTTCAACACGGAGCCTTGGCTCACACCGAACAGTAAGCTATAAAGGGCCCCAAAATATGACTAGTGTAAAACCATTTAAAACGGGAAAACTAACGGTCTAATCTATATAAAAAACTAGAAACGAAAAACACTTATGAACCACATCAACAAACGACAACTACTGAACATCAGGTTCCTGACTTAGGACAGTTGCAAAGAAATGCAGCGGCTTTAAACGTTTAAATAGGAACCAACCTTCACCCTTACCCGAAACAATAGTGTAGCATCACAACATAGAAAGACAGACTATAAAATATCAATTGAAATGGCTTAACTCAATCAAAAGACATATAAACACAAATGAACATACACTGAACGAATAAATTTGATCTATGACACAATGTAAATACAAAATCAATAAAATAAGGGGTGAATAAATAAAGGCAACAGAAGTATACAGCTGTGAGTTGTGAAATAATTACAGAAAGTAAACCATAACCTTGAACAAATAACCTAGCCGCCAAATAGAAAATTGTACACAGGTATAAGAAATTAATTTTGTTGTAAGGTGGAGAACGGAAATATTTGATACAAAATAAATAATTTTGTTGTTCATAGTACGAGAAACAGAAGTGGAAATTTATAGTCATACTAAACACTTATCAAATCTAGTATATATTAAAAATAGAGAAACATTACAATTGTATCAACAGGTCAAATTTACATGAAAGTAAGATTAGCATGGGTTAACTTGGTTTATACATTAGGTGTTATTGGCTTTGAACTAGCTTTCTGTAACTGCGAGAATTAGTATATCGGTGCAGTATTTCTTTATTGATGTTATGTTATTTGTTTTTCTTTCGTGGGGGGTGTGGGGGGAAGTAGTACCAATATATTGAGTTAAGCCCCTGGCAACTGATTTGTACACTTATATTTGCTGTTACACCACTACTCAATGTGAAAAAAATGGTTCAGCGCTAATGAATATGTAAAACCAAACAATGTTCTTTATGTACCTATCTAAAATAAAAACGGATATTTTCGAGCGTTGACATTTTCTTTTATGTTGATTTATATGCATGCACGTTTTACGTGGAGTGCAATTCTTGTACAAATAATAAGTTTGACTTTCAAATTCACTTTTTTGTTCTCTACACAATTTTCGCACGGGGATATTTTCGCGCATTTTATGTGATCGCAATATATAATCCCAAACGCGAATATTTCCACGTTTCAGAAATAGAGAGAAATTTTTGTCTGTTATGTGCGTCCATTCTTTATTTTGTTCGCCTGTACAGTATACAGTTTAATATTCTAGTAAAGTAGTTTACCTTTAAGGTGTGGTGATATTAACTTGAAACTTAATACACATGTTCATTATGGTGTGCACCTTTTATATTTGTGTTCACCAATTTTTCGGGGTTCACAAAACTCTGAAATTTTATTGTACGATCGGATCATTTATATTTCAGATCGTCTTTATATTGCTCCCAAAACTGAGCTTACAATAGATACAACAGAGTACAACGGAACAGTGTCCTGTGTTTTAAATTGCAAAGCGAATATGAGACCTTTTGACAACAGTGCTGAATTTATATTCAACAATGTCAGTCGAGAGCATATAGCAATTGTTGATAACATCTGCATAACAAAACACCAAAGAAAATGTAATTTCATTTACTGTGGGTGCAATCAAACTCTTAATGAGTTCCGAGTAAATTTTACAATGACTGATTTAAGAGTTGGACAAATACTAGGTTGTCAGATACGATTTCTGAATGAGGATACAGGAGATGTCACCAAAATTTTCATTTCAAAACGGTTTAATGGAACAGGTATGAAATTACAAACAAAACACTTTTCAAAATGTCATAACAACAAAACTGAAAAATAGCTATTGTATTCTTTCGATAGTTTAAAAAATCGAATATATCATACTGAAACAGTTGGTATGTACCCTGTTTCAAAAAAATATTCGTCGGTTTCCATTTTCAAAATGACCATCAAAATTTATAAATTCCATGGAGGAAATTTTATATATAAATACAACTTATCAGAAATCAATCGTGATTAAAATGTGTTGTGTTAGATTGTTTCAATGCCGCGCAATATCTAAATAGCGGCTGGTAAAACAATAAATGATACGATTCAAACACATTCCTGTCGTTATTGTATTAGATACTTTAAACTACATGATTTACATTTGGATTGAACAGTTTTGGGGATACATACAAAGAATAAAACCGTATGCCAATTCATTATCTCCTAACTAAGCGAGACTTGATCTGTCCGCGCGAAGAGAGTCATCTGTTATGCATGTATGCATAGATAACAGGCAACTGAATCCATTTATACGATCTATAATAGAATACAATTGATAAATTTATACTAAACTAGGTAATCAATCCCACAACATTTCAGGGACGTTAGTTGAAATATTCACCATATTTGTGTACTATGATGTATACAATACGCGAACATTAAATGTATCAGAGAAGACCCCCTTCCGCTTCACCAATTCATTTAACAGTAAAGATTCAATGATACTTATTGTTCATAAGTTAGGTTCAAATTAATATATTATATATCCTTAAGAATACAAGATATAATATATACTTCATTTGATATCTTATTACCTTTATAAGATATCGAAACACAACAATAAATATAAAAACGTCTTGCCATACATCCATAGTAAAAGAAATGTAACTTTCTGTTGAAAAGTTAAGTTGATGTAGTATGTTTGCAAATGAGACAACTATTCATCAGAGACCAAATGACGTATATGCATTTAAAGATCACCGTGTATCCTTCAACGATGGACAAAACCTTTAAATCTTGTCCCGTCAGGCATTTGTTTGCAATTAAAAAAAAACACGTTACTGAACTTTCACGATCAAGTTTTATTAAAATTTAACACTTCCTTTATTTGAAAAGGAATATTAATCTTTTTAAGGAAAACTTATACATGTTTGTTTGGAACTCATACCACATCTTCTTAACTCTATATAGTTTATTTTTACTGTATCGTATGACAAACAAATAAAAAAAAAATCATTGAAATATGACCATTATGAATCCAAAACATTTTCTTTTTATTAATGATTGACATAAGGTAATATGTAGTCTTTTGTGTTTTCTTAACACGTACTACGTTTTTCTTTTACCTAAATGCACAGTATTTTTAATAAAGTTGAAACATTTTGATAGCACATTTCCTTTTTTCCCAATGATTCCGCTTGTTGACTTTACACCACATACTTTTAGATATCTTGCAGTTGAATTTATTTGCTTTCACGATCCGGTACAAGTTATTTTTCGATCCGATCGCAATGCTTAACCACCATTACTTATTTTCCTCTTAATACCAAACGCAATCTGTGTTATGTGTCAATCTACGAGGTGTTAAAGTAGTAGTGAAAGAGAAAGGCTTACAAAAAATAAACGGAATAAGTTAGTGTATGTGAGTACGAATTAATCAATTTATGTGAATAACTTACTTGCAGATTTCAAGTCTTCAGAACTGAATATCAAAATGAACAAAAAAGAAAATGATACTGTGAATACAACCACAGACAGAACAGATCAACCCAAATCAGGTAATGAGTGTCTGAAAGGGGAAATATAGTTCATGTCTGTATTCTTTAACTGTTGGGGGCATTACACTTATCAACTCATTTTACTATTATAGTTATTAGTTATTTCATGATTTGTGTATTCTGTTCGTTCTGATTCATATCTGTAATTAGTATTTTACTGCCTTATTCTTTATCGTGTTGACAGTATTTTTTTTTATTTTTTTGCACTCTGTATAATCTCTGTTCTTTATTATTTTTCCAATTTTTCTGTATTCATAATTTTTTCTGGCCATTATTCTCTATTCTGTTAACCCCATTCAAATTCTTGGTTATTGTCATCCATAGTAAGATAATTGAAATTGAGTTTCCTGCTATGCCCTTTCATTTTATTCTTCCTTTTTAATTTGTTTGCCTATTTATGTATTATTTTTTTCGATTTGAAGGGAACTGCTTGCACGTTAACATCTTAAAGATTGTTATTCTTTTTTTTTCCTTTTTTTTTGAATTTTCCGCTGATATGTCTTTGTTTACATTATGGATATCATTTAATAGCATACCGAAAAATCATGCATGTCGGTATCAAATCCTTACCCAAAGTCACTTCGTTAACATAAAAAAAACAATAACAAAGCACAGCACTTGCGTTGCTGTTATTCAACTACTCAAAGGCTAGTGAGGTCATCCCCGCATGCTGTGTCTTTAGTAGTTAGATCAAAAATTGACCCTTTAAATCTGTATTGTAATCTCAATGTTATCTCTATCGTTCATAAGGCCATAATGATGTCCATAATGTCTGAATTGAAACCGTTGTTTCGCAATAATGTCAAAACTTATTGATGAAAATCTACGAAATCTGTTTTCGCCTTTTACTGGTACTTCTTGAATATTTTATCTGTTAATCATAAAATTACATATAAAGCTGGTTCAATAAGTTCTTGCGAGAGTCCCTTGTCAAAATATCAGAGTAGGGGGTTCCTGTAATAAAAGGTTCTAAAAAGTTCTCATATGAACATACACTCTATATCCTAGAAAAAGTATGAACCATAAACATTTTTAGGAGTTACAAATATGATACCATTATAATGAAAGTTGTAAAATGTCGTTTCAGAAAAGCGCTTGAGTGATCGCGATATTCTGATAACATCGGGTTGTATTGTAGTACCTGTTGTGATATCGGGAATCATAGCTTTATGTAAGTATTAGTGAAAGATGGCAAACGTATTTTTTAACAACTCGTAATTGAACTGAAAAGAGCATTATCATGTGATATGTCTTATTTATTCTTCATTGTAAAAAGTTATTGTTCTATGTACCTTTTATTCCTGAATACGGTAGAAGGTGCACATTGTTGATTTGTTTTGTATTTCATATAGCTAGTGTAAACATTATCTATTCCGGTTTTCTGCAACCACATTTTTATTCTCACTCGAAAAAAGAGGCATTTCAGGAACTATCACTTTAAACAGTTTGCTTTATCCATGACTAGCAAACTATACTTGAGGTTCTTTTAAATTACATTCGGTTTAAGGCGAAAAAGTAGTACCTGGCATAAAAATGAGTTGCATGCTAAGTTAATAATATATTTCTTCATTAAACTGAAAATATTTCAAAGCTGAAGGAATTTTTCATAATACCATACGGCATATTTTGTTAATAGTAAACATCGTTGTTAATATAATGGACTTTTATGCGACTGTCATACAAGCTTTAAGTGAGAGGTTTAGCTATCTATAAAACCAGGTTTAGTCCACTATTTTCTACATAAGAAAATGCCTGTACCAAGTCAGAAATATGACAGTTGTTATCCATTCGTTTGATATGTTTGAGCTTTTGACCGTGCGAGGGCTGTATAGCCAGTCAAGGTCGTTAAAAACTCCAACCATCATCTTTTGATTTTGCCATTTGATTACGGATTTTCCATTTTGAATTTTCCTCGGAGTTCGGTATTTTTGTTATTTCATTTTTTTCATAAGACATATTTGTGGAAAACGTCGAAATTTAAAATTCAGTAAGGCCTGTTTCTATGGTTTTTTTTTATAGATTTAATGTCAAATAATAGAAACTGAATTTAATTTAGTAATTGCAATTAGGACATAATAAATATTTTTATAAAATTGTAAGTTTTTAAAAGCATATTGCTTTTGCAATTTGTAACCTTGAGAATAAATTTGATTTGATTATTTTGCATAAATGTTATGCTCATTTCACGGTGGTAAATTATTGATGTTGTAAAATGGTACCGTTCATATTCAAAATATGATAATGGGTTAAATTAAAGTTAGGGTAGTCCATCTTCACATGGATTCGGATCCCTTAATTAAACGAAGGTCTAATATCTGACAAAATATGACTGATAAATCGATATTTCATCAATTGAATATAGCTGACTGAATGATAGTTTACAATAAAACGCATTTTTGTTTAACCATTTGGATTCAAGCAGCATATACATATGTACGTTTCCTGCTTTAGGATTAGATCGGATTTGGTACTTATTATAAAATTGGCCCTGTCAATTAACTAATGGACGGGTTGACAGGTTGGCACTGTTCGTTATTATTGAGGTTTTTTTTTTTTTTTTTTTTTGATTAATTCTATACAGTTATGTAGGCGTCAAGGTTTATTTATCTTGAAAACTAAGTTTTTTGTTTGTACTTAATTTGTCAGTCTATTATTAAACTTTAATGTCAAAACTGAGGCTAAAATTCGTTCTTAATTTTGACTTCTGTTGGTAAGCGAAATTACTTTTATTTACTGAGTGTCCATTGTTCCGGCTAGCCGGAAGAATAGTTAAAAATCTCTATTCTTCTGGCCATCCGTTTGCGGATGCGCAAATGTTCAATATCAACAGAAGTGTCATGTGGCGCGCAAAGTTTCCCGGATGAGGCGTCGGATTACAAACGCGTGTATGTAATGGACGTTTTGAAAATTGGAGATCGTGATTTATATTTAAAGATGTCCTAAAGAAAATTAGAGAAAATGTGATTATTTTAAAATCAAATTTCTATAGAAGTGACTCCAGAACAATAGCGTATGCATGTAAACTGAGATGAATAAAGCCTGAAATCAAACTGACATTGCTGATTTACCCCCATTATCTTTACCTATACCAACTGAGGAGACAAAACGCATCTCAACAATTCACGGGATAATGACTTAATCAAATATGCTTGGATGCATTATTTCTAAGTTCTACTACAAAGGGGATCTATGAGCATGCACTGATATGCCTGGACTCGGAATAGGATAGCAGGGTTGGGGTAGCCCCCCTTTTTATTCTGTTTATCTAATAACAAAATTTGTTCTATGTATTTTTCTATCGTAAACACAATCTTACTTTGGGGAGAGGTTACACGTGCCTTCCCTTTTCTGTTATTTCCTATGTGTTTGAAATCACCAAACATTTTAAATAAAAAATCGTGCAAAATCATTTGACGACCTGATTTGAATCAAACTTCAAGGAAACGATAAATTCAGGATCTTCTTTGGGAATCATAGATGCATGTCTATTGAAGCCATAAATGAGTGGCCCGACTCTTAAACTTACAAGAAATTCATAGGTAGAACAACTAAAAAGGAGAGTAATTTTGTCCCCCCCCCCCCCCCCCCCCCAAATTCCTTTAGAATAAAAAAAAATGAATATTAAGCTGTAGTAAATTTTCTTGCATTTGGAATTTTTTATTGATTGAATGGAAACTTGTTTTGTCAATACCATTAGTGACTTTAATTCCAAACTGTATTTGCTGCATATCAATATATAGATGTTGATATATTGTTCTTTTTTATCTCATTTGACAAGCTGTTTATACTTACGGGGAATCGGTGTGTTCCATGGAACAGACAGTAGAAGAATACATCAATGTTGGTTCTTGAGGAGTTTTTCTCGTAATATTTCTGTTTTGATTATTTGATTTTTGTTGCTTCACTACTTTTTTTCTTGAGTTTATAATGAGTAACGTCCGCTCGGAAAACATGCAATATATGAATAGTTCTCAGTGTATGCATGCATTTGAGGGAATTTTTTGCCACTACATTTTCCTTTGGACGCTACATTAACCACTAAACCATAAACATACTCATTTTTCATTTTTATGTATGGCCGGAATAATAGCATAATAGCAGAGAAAAGCTATTCTTCCGGATGGCCGGCAGAATAGACATTTCTTGCTATTGTTCCGGATAGCTGGAAGAATAGCCAATGCCTTTGTTTTATGTATCATGAAAAAAACGTATTTTACCATTAATTTATTTTTCGTCAGTAAGGCTCAAATTGACTTCCAGTGACTTTTACCTAAACAGCAAGTACGATCCGTATGTGATATTTTATATAGGTGCTGTCAAATAAATACTGGAATACAGGAAAGAAAATATTGTCAAAGTACGTGCAAAGAATAACTGTAACAAACATAAACTTTTAGCACGATCTCCAATGTACAAGCAGAACAAAATATAATGAAAGTTTCAACTATGTACTGGCTTCCCAAGCTGCACAAAACGCCTTACAAATATAGATTTATTTCGACTTCAAGCCATTGTTCCACTACTAAACTATCTATTCTACTTACTTACACTTGGTACAATCGAAAAACCTTGTAATAAATTGTTCAAATAAAGCCTTTGAAAATAGTAGAATTATTTACTTTTCGAGTGTCAAAAATTCGTTGGAAGTACTTGATAAATTGAATGCTTATATTGGTGATTTTGAATCTTTTTAAAGTTTTGATTTTTTTACCCTATATACCACTTTGCCTCATAATCTTATTAGGAAAAAAATCTCATTGATTAAATGGGCTTTTAAAAAGTCAGAATGCGAATATATATGTTCAAACTCTTTTAGATCATTTTTAGTAACAACAAACAAAAGAACTATGTCAATTGGATCTGCTTTGATGCTACTAACTGCCCTTGAATTTTCACTTTTTACATTTTTGTTCGCTATGGAGATTCCGTGTATAGTCAAGTTGTCGGAATTCCCATGGGGACTAACTGTACACCGCTAATTGCGGACCTGTTTCTGCATTGTTATGAGCTACAATTTATGACTAAAGTCAGCAAAGACCAATCGAAACAACATCTGATTCAAAAATTTAATAACACTTTTAGATATTTGGATAATACATTGGCTCTCAATACTGATGACGTCAATATGTACATGCACCAAAGAGAATTATCCTGCCCGAACTGACTTTACATAAAGCTTATACAAACAGTGAAAACTGTCCTTTCCTGGATATCTATATCTTTAACGGGAAGCTTAATTCCAAATTTTTTGATAAAAGAGATGATTTGTCATTTCCTATTATCAATTGTCCATTTTTAGAGGGCGACGTTCCCTTTTCGCCATCTTGTGGTGTTTATTTATCTCAACTTGTTCGATTCGCTCGTGTATGTAACAACGTATTTGATTTTAACATAAGAAATCAATGTATTACTGAAAAATTATTACACCAGGGTTTTCGATATCACAAACTAGTCAAAACATTAATTTTTACTAAATTTTATCATCGGTACAAGGAAATCGTTCGTAAATATAAATCAACATGCAGACATCTTATACATTCAGGTATTTCACATCCAATCTTTTATGGTAATATTCTTTACAAAGCACAAAAATGTCGGCATTTAGCTCAAAAGCTAACCAAACCTTTAAACAGACTTATTCAGAAGGGATATAGTTACGATACTGTTGTCAGGGCATTAAGGATTGCATATTTTGGTATTAATATTGATTCACTCATAGGGTCTTTGCAACAGAAATAAACACATTTAATCTAAAAACCAGTTGGTGGCATGATACGGGTTATGTTCTTCTTATATATTGTATGATGGTATGATAATAAACCCTAACGGGAGGGGTTGTGCTTGATTTTCATATGATGAAGACATTATCTTTCAATGAGTGTAGTTTAGGTCTGGAGCTGGCATGTCAGTAACTGCTAGTAGTCCTATGTTAATTTATGTATCAATGTCATTTTGCTTAGTTTCTTTTGTTACCTATTCTGACATCGGACTCGGACTTCTTTTACACTGAGTTTTACTGTGCAAATTGCTGTGTGTTTCTTTATTCTACATTGGCTAGAGGTATAGGGGGGTTCAGATCTCACAAAATATGTTTAACCCCGCCGCATTTTTGCGCCCGTCCCAAGTCTGGAGCCTCTGGCCTTTGTAAGTCTTGTATGTTTGGTTTTTTTTTTTTTCATTTTAGTTCATTTATATGTTTTGGAGTTTAGTATGATGACTATTTTCACTGAACTAGTACATATTTTTATTTAGGGACCAGCTGAAGCCTGCCTTCGAGAGCCAAATTAAGTATAACCAACATTCTGTCGGAAAACGATTTCTTCACATAACCATCTTTCTCGGTCTCAAATTTCGATCCTCCCTATCTTTCGAACAGTCTATCCGAAATTACAAAATTACAAGCAGGAGATGCGTCACTAGCTTTCTATAAAAACCTCCCTCATTCTTGTATATGGAAGACGACGTTTGTTGTCTGCTTGGAATATGTCAAATTCCGAAATGAATACAAACCACAATCTGTTTGATTATGATAATTACACTCCAAATACATCTCTAAAAATGTTTTAATGGACACAGTTTATTCCCAGTTCTAGCGATAATTAGTATATTACCATATCTGTAAATATCGGTTTTACTTTTATGTTTACATGGTTTTTAACTGATATATAACTTTGAAAGATATGCAGATTTAACTATTCAGACATATGCAAAAATCCAGGATATGGAAAAAAGCAAGCACAAATATTTCGATGGTTATATAGATTGTATACACAATAAAATTCATCAAACATCTGCGAATGCAAGTCTGCAGGTTTTTTCTTTTTAATTGGAACTGATAGACGTCTCTTAGCTCCTAGCAGAATATTTTCACCACAACAAAATCAGTAGGAGAAATTTCATTCGTAATTTCATTTGTCCATCTCAGTTATTCTATACAACGCTTGACTGCATAATATGACTGGGCGGATATTTTTGTTGCACTAGACATGCTCAAGATAAAGCCACATTAATTGGTTTGGCCTGTAAAATAAATTAATCAGATATTCTATTCGATATAGGCTATTTTTTCCACCTTTGAAACCAATAACGGGAATAAAATGCCGATGACTTGTGATTGACAGCATAAGCAAACCAGACTATCTTGTGAAGTTCTCACGGGGTGTCATCTAAAAGCGTAAATAATTGTGCACAAACCCTCAAGTCGTCGTTATCAGTAATACTACTTATGTCATGTTATGTACTCCGTGTTTTCATTGAAAGTTATAAGAACCCATTCTGCAGCGATGTGTCATACCATTTTCATAAACGGACAGAATAATAACCTAAAATCAGGTGTGAATTTGTTCTACCTTTGGCAACAACACTAACTATGTTCTGATTGTCACTAGACCATAAATTTGAGTCATTATTCTTTTGAAATATCTACCATAAATAAAAAGAATATGTTTGTTGGCATTGAGCTCCTACCGCGAAGAACAAATAGTAGTCTCAAACTTGGACCATATACCATGAGCTATATAAACATGATAAACACGTGTTTCTACAATATAATCATCAAATCATGTATTACTAGCATCAATGTTAAATAAAGACTGACATGAAAAATCAGAAGTAATTGTTTTAGCATTTACTCTTCCCAAATTTTCTTTCAAGAAATTAATTTGTATCAACGTGCTTTTGATAACAGGATACAACTGTTTAATGGAGTTTTCTCTAAAATCTCAATATTTAATTGTTAAAACATAATATTCGCAAAATTAACAATTACATATGACAGTAATAGCTGTCCCACCAAAGAGGCAAACAATCTTGCTTGAAATTTATTGTATCGTATGTAATATTCCTGTCATTACTAGTTTTAAAACCTTTTGAACTCTGCCATTCGCTATTTTGAAAATACCATGGTAGGTGTCAATTGAATAAACCAATAATCCAAATTTTTCATAGATGACCATTTAGATTTTCCATTTTTTGAAGAACAAAAACACTCATAATTAAATTTTGTCTCACTTGTCCTGACATATTTTTACAAGTATTTTCGTCCATGTGGGTACCTAAACCATAGTTAACTAAAACGTGTTTACCTTCAACCCTCCATTTCTTTATAAGTTGTATGGTGATCTTGGTAAATATATAACAAGCTGAAAAGGAAAGGCTAAACAATTATACAACTTAACAGTGTTTTCATACTTTCAAGAAAAACCCTAAAACTCTGTATGAAGTATAGAAATCTTTGGATGGTGATATGCTGACACAACGTGTAACTGGAACAAGAAAGAATGATTTGTAATAAATTGCATGGTTATGCGAATATCTTCGAATTTACACGAGATGTTTCTGTTTGATGTTCGACACAGGCACTGTTAGTTGATTTAAAAAACGTGGTTCACATTCTTCAATCAAGCTCCTTATCAAAAGATAGCTTCTATGGATGATTGCCGATCGATTGCTTTGTAAACGTATTGACGGTTGAGTATTGTAACAAGATATTTTGTAACCGTTCAAAATGGTGTCCAAAATAAAATCATAGCATCCTATACTTTTCCAAAAAAAGAAGTGATTTTGTAGCATGTCCTTACCATAATGTTTGCCTGATCTTGTTCACACTCATAATAATCAATAGTGAGATTATCAGGTTCGTTAATCGAAAAACTGATGCAGTATTATCACGTAAAACATTCAAACAATACTTATCTTTTATGAAATTTGGTTTCTACATTGTGCCAGGTCTTGTATTGAATGATGGTGTCTCCAGTGCTGGAACAATCCACTCCCGTAAAATGCTCCCTGTTGTTGATTTCGTTGCTGATTACCACTCGTGCTAGCTTTAACATGGTACAAAGCTTGTTCGTTGTAACATGACTTGGGGTCACTAGAGGGCTGATTCTAAAAGTAGAAACAAATTGAAATGGAGCACTCGATATGAAATTATTGTTAGGTTTTGCGGCAGCTTTTTTCCCTTTTAAGTTGCGTTTACCATGTTTACATTGTGCCATATGTTCTGCTTTCCTAATGATCGTCAGAGTCGATTGCCACTAGATTAGTTTCATATTGTCGAACCATCCCCCTTCGATGTTGTCTTTGGTTTTTATTAGTTTATTTCGCCTTTTGATCTTGTTCTTAACTTCTGTAGTACTAGTAGTGTCACTTATGTATTTAATATTTGAATTATAAATTGCCAAAACTGTGTAAAATTCTTCTGAAATTCAGCGTTTAGAAAAATTTAACCTTTAACTTTTTGACTTGGAAAGCAACAGAAACGATCGCTCCGTGAACTTCGTGTATTAAATCAAATTGTCTTTCCTTAAACTAGCGTTAAATTCACCTTGCGTTTTATAGCCTTCATACAATATCTAGGCGAAAACTCCTTGTCTTGAATTTCTAATTTTCAGTCATTACAAACAAATGTTACCAAGTAATTTTAGTACCGATCGCTTCGGCGCTGCCGTGCTGAATGCCTAAAACTCCCGTTTTGGCGGGAAAACTGACCGTGCACTATATAAGATGCATCCTGAAAAAGACAAGTGGAAATTATTTCACTCTAATCTACTAGGTTCAGCCGTATGAAATCATATATGTAATGCATGGACATTTTGGCGTATAGATTTGTAATGAACGTCGAAACTTGGAATCTATATGAGCTTTTTTCAAGCAACAACGAAACAATAGGCATATATTGTTCTTCTTGTATCTACATATACATGATATAGATGATTCAATATGATTATATCTTTAGCCTCCTTACTTTCCATAAACATTGTTTGCCAATAGGTCTACTACAAAACAATGGTTAAGTCAAGTGTCTGCAAATAATGATGCAGCTGTAAATATAGAATTATAACAGACATTAAATCAGTTGTTGTCAGATAAATCAATGGGGGCAAATTTTATGTAAGATATAACAGCAGTACCGGTGTGCCAAACTCGTTCATCAATATTATAATACAAATTAAACAAATGATTAAATATGACAACAACCTTAAACTCCCATCCGTTAATTCTCGCTACTTATTACTACTAATTTTCTTTTCATATGATATTCTTAGAACTCTGTTAGTAAAAGTGAAGTTCATTGGAATTAAAGATTGTGTTTTCAAATAGCATTTCATTTTTTTTTAGATTTGCATAGGTTGAGAAAAAGAGAGGAGTCGTCACAGAAGCCGGTTGAACTTGGTGCTATGATATGAGATGAAATGAGTTATATGAAATAAGGGGACGACCATTTGATATTCTGGGGGGGGGGGGGCAGGAGGATTTTGAAAATAAATAACTCAGCCTTGATAATCACAAAAATAAATGGTTTGTTCTGTGGTAGTTTGAAAATAAATAACCTGACTTGCAATGTATTAAAAATAAATAACTCGGCAGGTCTATTTCAGAGCATGTGATTGCACCAGATTCTTCATAAAATTCAACTTTTTTTACAAAAAAATCGGGAATCACTTCTTTGAATAATAAAAGTATAAATATTATTTAAAATACTTGAAATGTCTGAAAAATGGGTTTCATTTAACTTGAGGTTTATTGTCTCAGGAACACTTAACTCACTTTTATTACATATGGCAGTAACTACATTCAGGCAAATGCCTCATGTAGGAAATTTCAAAACCAAAAGCTTGTCTTCATATCAAATTGTTTTCACGGCAAGTGTCTTGCAAGAAGCAAGTTCTGTTCTCCCTCAGACGTATTTCCTGTTTTTTGGGGATCAATGTTTCTTATTTATTTGTCTTTTGTTCATTGATTGCCCTTCTGTATTCTGTTAGTGTTGCATTCCTTTTGTAATATTGTTATTAACTTGATCAAGAGTTTAAAAAAAAACAGCAGCCACATACTTAACTATGTGAATTAAATTTTTGCTTTATCTTTGTCTTTTGATGTTGTTCCTAAAAACTTAAGTCTTACACTGAATCTATACATGTTGCTTTGAGACCAAAATATTGTCAAAAAATGATTAAAACAGAACTTTCATTTTCAGATTAAGAAAGGGTATGGGAAACACATTTTGCATCATTAGTTCTATAGCAACTTGGGGCCTTCAGCGGCTCCAAAACCCTTCAAATTTTTTTTAGCCTCGCTCCGCTCGGCATAAATGATTTGCAATACTTTTAAAATACACTAATTACAGCCAAACTTTAATATCTTGTATGTTGGGAATTCAGAAGATTCATTTCTACAGAAGATGATGATCAATTCTGATTAAATGGTACATAATGATTGGACTATTCATGTATTATTTATAATAAAAAATGAATTTAAAAATTGTATGTTTTCAAATATTATAAATATAGTTGTGAAAATAAATAATCAGTCCCTTGCTTTAATGAAAATGAAAAATCTTGCTTCAACAGTGCAGAAAATAGATAATCTGTTCTCTTAGTTTACAAAAATAAATAACCGATCAAAAACAAATCCTCCTGCCCCTTTCCCCATACATCTTAGAATTAAACAGAATAATTTTTTTTTTTAAATGTACGACCTCAAACTAGAATAAAGATTAAAATATATTGGGATATTCTACAAAAAAAAACTTCGTTGAAAATTACAGCAGATTCCATTGAGTGTGTAGCCAAAGGTAATATCTTTGGTTAGCTTGCTTGTTAGTTGAACCGTGAAGTCATGTAAAGACCTGTAAAGGTCAAAGAAAACATTAGTCTTAGTAGTATTTCAGTCAGAATTAAGAAACATAACAAATCTTTATTCTGATATAAGACAGTATTACACGAACAAGATGTAAGAAAATCGTAACGACAAATATATCTGCTTAACAAACGACCTTCTTCAGTTTCAGTGTTTTATCGAATGCAATACTACAGACATTTTTCGAAAAGTCGTCTCTATAGACACTTATAGATACACCATACTCTGTCTCAAAACAGAGGGGGTGTAACAACTGTCAAAATATTCTGAATGTCATATTATCTTATTACAAACAGTATTAGTGACTTGGTTTATCGAATTCAAAAGTCCGAATTAACAAAACCAAGAGTTGTACATTACATTCGACTAAAACTATATTGTAATGATTTTGGCAATTGGCTGGTTTAAACTGTTATTCAAAAAGACACAGATTATCATGCTACCGCAAGTGAAGAAAAGAACATAGAATTAAGAGAAAACGAACAGTGTGAAATCTCCCATTTTCCAACAGACAATATTGAAAACGGTCGAGGAAATAATGTAAAGCGTCCACCAAACAGATTCATACCTAATCAAAACTTTTTCTTGAAGTTTATAAACTGTGAGCATTAAAATGACCGTTGCATGTTTTCATTGTGCATGACTTATTTGAATTCTTTTATTTGTCATGTGTTGAAATTGTTTTTATTTTATTGTACAAGAATGTAAACGTTGATACATTTTTGATATATTTTAATTTTTACATGTACATTTATTGCGTATTTTATGTTTTACTTTGAAAAGTGGTCTTCCATACTTTAATAAGTTAAATTTGTTTCTTTCACATGTGAGACACACGTTTTTCAAAAGGGGAAACAATGTAATATTTCAATGATTTGTAAATATGACCTCTGGTTAATTTGGCTATAACTTACTGTGTTTGTGTAAGAGAAAATTAATGATTCAAGGTTAGTTTGACAAATGACTAGTTTTATTATCTGCAGTTAAAGTTTAACTGTTAGATGTAACTAAGAAAAGTAACTTTTTCATGGGGTGTAGGGTAATAAAATTTAATTATGTCTATGTGTTTTTTCTTGTGTGAAATAGTTAGACAAGTTACGTGCTTACAGATTTCTCTTTTTTACTATATCATTTAAATACAGTAAAACCTGTGTAAACCGGCTGGCTATTGAACTCTGAATAAGGGCCGGTTTGGACAGTGGGTCGGTTCATTCATTTTTCCGGTTTGACAGGAATTAACTTGACTTGGGAAGTCAGCTATTTTGCATGTTAAAGTTCTAACCTAATAAAAACAAATACATTAATAATCTTTTTATTACAAGTTATGTCATGATTTGAGTGAAAATATTGTGACATGAACATTACAAGCGTACCCTGCCTGTTCGCCATTTTATTACGCACGATCTTGTCGTCGCGTATTCATTGGCTTTAATAATTTCGGAAATCGGTTGTACCCAGAATGCAAAATAAATAGTACCATACCGTTTTTTACATATACTCGTATGTCAAATCTGCCTCGGTAGCATCAGCCTCTGACTCGTCAGTTTCACTTTCACTTTGAATTCGTTGTTTTCATTTGCTTCAGAATCCTCGCGTTGTTTGAATTGTTCAACGATATTTTCATTCAACTTCCATCGTTCATTTCCTTCGTTGGTATAGCCGATCAAAATGCATGAATTTTTTCAAAAGGAAATTTCATCATTGTTGTACAAAAACTCGACAAAGAATGTCGTCATCTGGGTCTTCTCCATTATCAGTGTCATCTGTTTCGAGGTTCAGAACAGGCAACCCAGCGTTCTAATTCTCACGAGTTGTTAAACCTATTTCTCTTATAGTAAACATTCTTATTGTGTTAAATAAAAAATTCCACGAATACTTGATCTAGTCTTTTGCACTGGCATACCAGTATGACGTCATATGCTTTGTTGCGGTATCAAACTTTTACATCATAACATTAAAGTTTTTCGTACGCTTTTGACATGTGTTATATTCCTAGCAGTGTGATATGAGAAATATCTCTTCACGCGAGAAATAGATACCAGACCATAATCATAAGAGAAAAAGCATAATGGTACAACTGATCACAATTTTAATACGAACTGTTTGATGAATTTTTACTTGAGATAAAACGAACCTTGATGTTTGTTGACTACAGAAAAGCGTTTGGCTCTGTTGATAGACGTGCTTTATGGCACAAAATACTAAAATGAAATTGAGAATGGAAATTGGGAATGCGTCAAAGAGACAACAACCCGACCAAAGATCAGAAAACAGCTCAAACAATGCATTTATGGTAAAATGTGTACAGTAATTCACAGTACGTATAAAAATGCCTAATCGAGTGTACGTTTAAGTTGTAAAACTTCAAGTTCTTTTGTAGCAATGTTAGCGTGCCCTTAGTAAAAAATTGGTCACAAAAGTTGGTAAAGTTTAGAAAAAACAATGCAGGATAACCTTGTATTTTCTACCGCGCTGAAGTACGTCCATTATTAATTTAATTATTAATTCATCAGTTTTCTAAATTCAATAATGAATAATGAAATAGTTCATTATTCATTATTCGATATTCAATGTTTAGTGATAAATAATGTATAATGAAATGGTTTATATTTCAGTATTAAAGTTAAAACGTGAATAATGAACTAGATCATTTCTTCTAACGAATGTGTAACGTGCGGACTGACAGATATGAAGTTTACTCTATACCCCTACATTATTGGGCGATGGAAAAATGGACTTTTCGGTTTCCCAATCAGTTATCTCGGATTCCCAATCCGTGATCACGGATTTGCAGTCCGTGATCTCGGATTTGCAATCCGTAAGCTTGGATTGATAATCCGTTATCTCGGATTCGTAATCCTTTGTCTCGAATTAACAATCCTTTATCTCGAATTAACGATCCGTTATCTCAGATTCCTAATCGACTGATAATTCGTTATCTCGGTTTTCCCAATTCATTATATCGGTTTCCCTGTCCGTTATCTCGGATTTCCAATCCTTGATCTCAAATTAATTATCCGTTATCTCGGATTGATAATATGTTATCTCGGATTGATAATCTGGTATCTGGGATTCACAATCTGTGATCTCGGATTTATAATCCTTGATCTCGGATTCCCAATTGTTACAAGATATGGACCTGTATGGATCTTTGTTATTTTTCAAGACACATCCACTGAAAAAATATGATTATCATTCATCTATGACAAGTACTTGCTATGATCTAGACCTTAAAGCAAATCAACTAAAGTCACTCATGCGTAAAATGTAGACCAGGATAACCTGGTTTTGAATAGCTCTTAACGTAAAGATTAGCTGGAACGAACATTCGAAGGAAAAAACGGACGAACTAACCAAACATTATGTACACCCCTCCTCAAATCTGTTGGGCGAGGGGATAGTTAAATCTATCCTGAAAGAAGTACGATGCCGTGTGCCATTTTCTCTAATTAAATGACTATGGCAGTCTCTTGTTTTGTATGTTTCTGATCAAATATTTGTAAAGTTTCTCCCATCCAGTAACCATCAACGACCATAAATAACAGTACGAGTAAAATCAACTAAAGTCAAGGTCAATTATGTAAAAAAAAAGTTCCCATGTTT